AAAAATCGAATACAATGGAGCATGAGAGAGTTCGTCTGAAACTCAAGCACATAAAGAGTGGAAATTGTAACAAAAAAATCAAACAGACTCCCAAATTTGTGGACAATATTATAAAAATTTAATTGTATTATCATAGTAGAATGGCTTAGTCACACAAAACCGTATGCAGAACTCATAGTAATCGCCATGTTTTTCATGCCTCCACGAAAGTAGCTTAAATCACGTTCATAAATGAAGACAAGTTGAATTACAAAGAACATAAAATTTGTGCTACTATAGATAACAACCTCATGGTAAAAAGGAAATAGTACTAATAATAAGATCAGCACAGAGCAAGGTAAAACATCACATTAGCTTTTGGTGTTTACCGTATGAGACTCGAGTTTGTCAAAAACAACAGTGGATCCTTAACAAGGAAAACAACGATTTCACTGTCAACCAAACTATTCAAAGATAGTAATTTCAGAGACACTTCATACTACCTATCCACTTCATTTTGACAATCTAACAACTGGGTTCACATCATGTCCCAAAAATCACGGCAAACCAAATTTACTCACCCGATCACTTGGGACAGTAAACACATCATTTTCTGCATGTAAACCAAAAAAATATATCAATTGGAAGTCCCATGAAAGAGTTTATATGGATAATAGCTATTGATATCTTCATACCATCAAACAATTTATTAAGTACTTAAAGCTCAGTGGAAAGAACTATAGTGTCCAAAAACCTGAGCTATATAGTAACCATTCTGTTCATGGAGTGAATAAATAGATTGGCACATCGTCATTTATTTTCTTTTCTTTTTATTTTGTGGCGCTGTAAGTTATAATGATTAAATAGCCAAGTTTTCCCACACTCACGGCCAACCTATAAGAAGGCAAAATTTAAAACAAACGTATAACTGAAACTTAATTACAGAGGCTAGTGAAAAAAGAATTTCTATCAGTTTTCCCTCATGTTGTGGTCCCAATAAATGTTCACAACAAGTACCAATTCTCAGATAATCATGAACAATAAATCTGGCCTAATGCTCAGGACCAAAAATTGTCGTTTGCCTATATACTGAGTAATGATCAAAGTGCATATCCAATGCTATGTCTGACCATGGTTCACATGTAAGAGCCATCCCAAACCTCTTGGTTCAACAAAAAAGACCCCCTAATTAACATGATGTACATTAAGAACACTGTCCACAATCATTCATACCTTCATACGAGAGGATATGACTGCGATTAAATAAATGCAGATTTTGAATATTGTTTAGCAACATATTGTTTCATTACCAGGACCTCTAAATCAAAGTAACAGAATTTTAATAAGCTCACATGCAAGAGCAGCAAAAACTTTTATATTCTATGTGTCATTATAGTCATGTGGCTGGCTCGAGGATACTTCATGCGAAAACTTCAAAATTGATAGGAGCACCTCAAGAATTTCATATATACGACAATCAGTTTTCACAACTTCAGTAACACAAGATGTACAAGGGTGATTATAGGTAGGAACAAATGACATCAATTAAGAGGACTCAACTTTTTGTTTTTTTTTTTGCATGGATAAAATAGTAATTGTCCCGTGAAAAAATAAGTGGCATAAAATGTAATAAATCTGAGGTCTGAAAAACTAACCTTGCAGATCAAACATCTGAATGGGTTCAAGTAATTCTTCTGCAAAAGCCATTGGCATAGCTATAAGACCTCTGGTTTGCAACAGCTCAGTGACTGCTGAAGGATAAGAATCAATTAATTTTCCCATCGTATGTTCCACAGGTCCGTTGAGCATCTGTCCCTGAAAGACGTAATGTCCATGCCCCTGAAAGAATCAGGTATCAATGTAGGAACCGATTACATAAATGTAGATTGCTTCATGAAATTAGTTCCAAATTTTGCTCAAGATGTGTGGCAATCAGTTTAAGCATGGTTTGTAGTACCTCAAGGAAAATAAGAGAGTTTGAAATTGGTTCACCCCCCAATCTGCTTTGACACAAATCCTGCATGGTAAATACACAATAATGTGTGTGTGCTTAGAAAATATCGAGGAATGCGGATAATACTGTTCTAGGATCAGCAAAACTGATATAATAAGAAGCAATTTGACATCGGATATCACGCTTAGAATCTTAATAACATATAGACTTGGCACGACAAACTACAGAATCTAGAACTTCAACAATATGTTTTGGCCTTATAGCAAGCTTGTACAGTTCAAGTCAATTCAGAGAAATAAGAAACTGTTGTACATCAACAAGGTGAATCAACAAGTAAAAGACTGATATGTTGTGCTGCACTGAAGCAAGTGTTATGCAGAACTATACTGAGAAAATCATATCTGAGCCTCCAGAGGTAACATAGGACCTTTCTGGGATCTTTGACGGAGCTTTCTATTGTTCTTTTGATAAAAAAAGCGTGAACCAATAGGGTCACTTAGGAAATGAAGTTTAACGCTTCATGAAAAATTGTTTTAATTTTTTTTTTTTTTTTCAGATTTGAAGTAACAAGATGACATCTAAATGATTGGAGTCACTAGCATTATAATTTACCTTCACTTGATTTTGCAGATATTTGACATGGTCAATGACAACATCCAGCAAAGCTGCTTTACCAACCTGCATAGCCACAACTTACTAAGTGGTTGCATGTTCAGAAATTACCCACTATAAGTAATGACTTACATTCAAGATAAACATTGGCTACCACGAAACAAAACAATATTTCCAACAAAACAATGTTTCCATTCAGCATACTCAATACGCTACATTATGAAAGTAAATAGGTGTAATTGAGAATATATGACAAAGAAAAACTAAACTGAATCTCATCACTGTCACAAAAGCCCAATAATTACTCAAACATTAACTGGTTATTTAAACTGACAGCTGTGTTTTGATGTCCAGCCTCTTGAGAATATGTCAACTTCACTAAGAAACTCTAAGACAGAGCCAAAAGAGTTTATTGTGTTATCAAAGATTGGGTATCTTACCACTTCAGGTTGAGGCATCAATTCCTTTAATGCTTCCAACCAATGTGATATTTTCAGTCTACGTAACTAAAAGAATGAACATGGCTATCAGTTAAGATCAAGCAGATGAGGCCTTTAATGTGTTTATGTTACTTATAGCTAGGAAAAATGCATACACGATCTGTGGCACAGGCTCTTGATCTTCTCCGACGAGCTTCAGTGACGCTTTCAAGTGAAGCAGTAGCTGCAGTACCCAACCCTGAATAAGCTTGAAAAGCATGACTATGACTTTCATTCCAATTTTGTTCCTGCAGGGACAATATGTATGAGATTTTACAAAAAGGAAAAATATCTGCCACATGAATGTTTCACTATATAAACTATTTTCTTTTATGAATAGAGAAAGAGATGGGACTTTTAACCTGAACACCATATTGAGGTTCCAAGCCTGTGAATGTTTTATCAAAGTGTCCTACATTACGCAGCCCAGGATGTTCTTGCTATAGAATGAAAGTAAACAGATTACATCCCATGTAAGACTTATTCATAGTGTCTAATGAATATGGCACGCCAACTAACAAGAATGGTTTAAGAAAATTACCACAACTTCTAACATCAAGTTCAAATTCTAAAGGGAAAAATTCCTCATTAAGACTAGAATATCATGTAAAGATGGCTCTGCCAACTCACCAACTGAGAAGGATATTCTAGTCCAAAACCAGGTATTTCTGAGGAAACATTGTATTGCATTTGTCTCTGGTCTTCAGGGTGCCCTCTCTCAGCAAGAAACTCAACATAGGTTTTAGGCATTTGCTGGGAAGGAGTCCATTCAGTAACTGCAGCACGTTCATGATGCATCCCATTACTCCCTGGAGTCACATAGTAGTGATTTGCATGATGATCACCGCTTAATCCATAGGCATCCTCTGCTATGTAATTCGTGGCCAGTGGTGGAAACTGCACACTGTTTTCATAATTTTGTTCTTCCATTTGAAAATGCTAGGAAGCTGCCATGAAAATAACTTGTCAAATGTAATAATAATGACTAGAGAGCTTATCCAACTGAAAGTTTAGCAATAAGTTTTCACTTTGCAAGACCATCCGTCTAAGAACCAGAATAATCATGAAAGCCACAAATAGGTACCAATTTGTTTCCATCAAGGGTGCCAGAACAAAACACGAATTCTAACCAGTTCCTCTAATTAATGTCCACAACCAAATTGAGGATTGCTCATCACTGAGAAAAATTAAATGAAATAAAAATCAATCCACAAATATGATAATAATAGTCCTGTTCACTCACACTCTTGAGTCACAAAGAAGCAGCCTGAGACCACATCATGCTGTGAGTACATATATTCTAAATCCAAACACATATTCATTGACAAATTTCTGACACTTTACTCTCATTTATTTTTGTTCGTTGCATCCGATTTTTTCCCAATAGCTGTCGGACAGTCATCTATCTATTTATTCGAAGAATATCTAACCGGAAAAAAACGGGTGATACTTCGTTTTTCCCCCCTTTTTCAGACAAAATCAAGTAGATATACCATGTAAATTCGAGAATCCAAAATTTCACCAACTTCCCTAGTAATAACCCAACAGCATGTCAGCAACATAAGCTTTCACCAAAACACACACGAACACGTACTGAAAAAACACTAACAAGCACAGCTATCAACACAGTAAAATTCCCAAAAATCTCGTCAAACCAACACCTGCTAAATACTGACCGAAAGCAACAAGAAAATACATGTGAATCGTGAAAATACATGTGAATCGTGATCCTTCTTTCCCTTCCCCCCGTTTTTCCGGGAAAAATCAAGTGGATATACCACGTAAATTCGAGATTCCAGCATCTCACCAACTTTCCGAGTAACAACACAACAACATCAACATATGCTTTCTGCTTTCACCAAAACACACACGAAAAGGTACTAAAGAAACACAAACAAACGCAGCTATCAACACAGTGAAAACTCCCGAAAATCTCCTCCACAAACACATGCTAAACACAGACCGAACTCTCGTGCGCTAAGACATAAGAGGAATATCAAACGCAGGAGAAGATCGAGCAGCAACGATTGCAGAAAAAAACCGAAAAGGATACAGAAATTCTTACAGATTTTTACTCCACAGAGCTTTTGCTTGAGCAGGCAGCTGAAAAGTGAAGTGCAAAAGGCGTGAGTGAGGCGTTTGCCGTCTAAAATGAGCTGATTGGGTACAGCTTTTTTACGTGCACAGTACGTTGCAGCTGCTGTGTTTGGCAGGCGTACGAAAAGCACGCATTGCAGGGAGTGAACAGTAGTTAACATAAGCGCAAATGTTGGTTTATGTGCTTGAATGGTCGACATTACCCTGCGATTCGAAAATGATGTGTTCGGAGATGGGGGATATTTTGGGGAAGATGAATATATTGTGATAAATAATCTATGGGAATCATTATTTATTTTGTTGGTTTCTTAAGAAATGGACTAGTCTAAAAGTGTTATACTACTTTAGCCTTGATTAATAAAAATACATAGAGATAGTTGTTCACGAGCTATTAGATACAAACATTTCGTGGGCAGCAAATATCTCTAACATCGTGCTCCGAAACAACACCGGAAGTTGGGTCTGGAAGCCGATGGCACCCGAGAGAGACCGAAGCCGCATAAGACGCAGGTAGTCCGCAACAAAGTTCGCCTCACGAAAGATGTGAGAGATCTTCACTGCCAGTCTCGACTTAAGAGCACTCGTACCCCTATTACCAAGTCAGAATGAACCTAGCTCCCCTTTATCCTCTATATTATTTGCAAATCCCACGACGATGGAATTGTCGACTTCAGCTTCTACTCGACGATAACCCAAGCTCTAGGCTAAGCTCAGACTCTGGAATAAGCCCCATAATTCGGCTTCAGTTATAGAGCAGTCTCCAATGTTCATTAAGAAGCCACCGAGCCAGTTGCCATGGGAGTCACGAAGCAATCCTCCCGAGGAGGCCTTACCCAAGGATCTATTATGGGTTCCGTCAGAGTTTACCTTTATCCATGAATTCGGCGGCGGTTCCCATCTGACAAGGCGTTGGACACGAGTAGTCTCTATAATGCCAATCTTCTTAACCCCATCGACAAAGTGTATCACACTTCGAACGAAAGCTTGGATTTCATTCACTTTCCCAAAGCATCTAATCGACGACTTTGAAAAATGAAAATATTTCGCTAGTGCCACAATTTCCATAGTGTTACGCCAAAAGTGCACTCCCTGTTATCATCGGTTGCGAAAGTGTCAGGCCGATTTAAGAGGTTAGACGTAAGTCAGGCCTTGAGCTCAAGCCGAAAAAACTTCGGTTGCACATCTGTCGGAACCATGCGGAGCCAGACCTGGGTAGCCTCCGTGCAGTCCCGGAGGACATGTAAGAGAGTTTCTTCTCGAGTCGGGCATTTATGACAGCACACCATCGAGGATAAATGTCTCCGAGCTCGCTCCACATTCTTCAGTAGACTTCCCTAAACACAAGCCAAATGAAGTGTCGGATACACTGTGGACCATGCCATCTCTAGACAGCTTTCCACGGCCCTTGGACATCACTTTCTTCTCTTGCAGTGATTAGACGGTAGGCTGAGCGAGTTATGAACTTGCCATTTTCTGAGGCCGCCCAACAAATTCGATCATTTCCTAGGTCTGGGGCGGGTGCACATGGATATGTATTATATATATATAATTGCTGGCAAATGTATTAAATAAAACCTATTTAATTATATCTACGTCGTATTTTACCGCCTAAACACATTTTTGGCTTAAAAAGGCAAGTTTTTTTTTTTATTTATTTTGTAATTTTCCTGTCCATGCTTCTATTAACTAAATAAGGTATGTTAATTGAATCATTTATTTGGACAAAAAGAAAAATGTTGTGGAAAAAAATAAAACAGACGGATTCTAAGAATTCGTGTTTCAAGAAAAACGGATTATGAGAATACGTTTTTGTTTATTTATTTATTTATTTTTTAATGAAAAACGGATTTTGAGAATCCGTTTTTCAATTAAATTAACTGAAAATTTTCAAAAAAAAAAATATAAAAATAAATAAATAAATAAATAAATAAATAAATAAGAACGGATTATGAGAATCCGTTTTTCAATTAATTAATCAAAAAACAGATTATGAGAATCCGTTCTTATTTATTTATGTATTTTTATATTTTTTTTTTGAAAAACGTATTATCAAAATCTATTTTTTTTTTTTAAAAATAATTGGTAGAAGGCCCCAGATTCGGGACTCGAACTCGGGTGGACGAGTCCGTTTTCTCCGGGCACACCTCCTACTATTAGGCCGCTAGGCTATCGCTGTTATTTTTGCGCAAATTTTATTCTTATACTTCAATATCAATATTTTTTATAGTATATAGATTTTTTAATTTTAATATATAGTATATACATATATATTATAATTTACCATAGTATATACATGTATATTACAAAAAATATATTATATAATATATAATACCATATAGTATATAATATAATATAATATATAGTACAAAGTATATATTATATAGTATATATTATAATAATATATAGTATATAGTATATATTATAATAATATATATTATATAGTATATAGTATATGTTTTATATTATAAACTATAACATCCTCCCTATATATAATTCTCGAATGCGCTGAGTCTACGTGGCTGCTTCTGGTGCTTCGGAATCTTATTTGGCGAAGAATCATGCTTCGTAATTAGGTTTGGATAAATAATATTGATAAATTAATAATTAATAATCTTGGTTCGGGTATTCCATAAATATTATTTAGTTAACTTAGGTATTTTAATATCACTTTTACTAATATAACTAAATCTTTTGTAATTTTACATAGTGAGACACTAAGTGACTAATATATCCCTGAATTTTGATTTGTTTATTTCCTTCAATAAGCTATTAAATTATAAATGTATTTTAAAAGTTGATAACTTTTGTATTTTTAATCAGTTTTACATATATAATATATCAAATTAATCATCTTTTGATGATCGATTTGGCATCCATATTGTATATATGAAATAAATAAATTATATTTATCTTTATAATAATAAAAAATAATAATATTTATTAAAATTCATTAGAAAAATAAAAAATTATTTCTCAATTGATATATTTTTATATAATGTAGTTATATAATGTAAGTTAAAAAAAATTAGTATAATATAACACAAGTAAGTTGCACAAATAAAAAGTGTCATAATAAATATATAATAATATATATATTCTTATAAAAGGTATTTAAATTTTCAAACTACTCTTTCTCATTAATTTTAGATTTTAAGAAAAAAAAAATTAGTAAGCACCCGTGTAATACACGGGTGTTGTACTAGTAGTATATATGATTACACTAATTCGAGTTCGATTACGCTATAATTCACCGAGAGCGTACTTATTTAACTTCAATTGGACTAATTTGAGTTTGATTACACTATAATACCGATATCGTACTAATTTGACTTCAATTGGACTAATTTTGAAAATCTGTTTCTATTTTTATTTTTTATTTTAAAAAAAAAAAAACAGATTTTGAAAATCCGTTTATTTTTATTTTTATTTTTTTTAAATTCGACGGTTTTCTCGACCTTCTTTTTTTGAAAAAGAATAAATAAAAAATAAAAAACAGATTATCGAAATTCGTTTTTTTAATAAAAATTTTATTAAAAAAAAAGGGATTTTCAAAACTTGATGTATCTTTAGTCATTTATGATTTTGGATTGAGAAAATAATTTATTAGTTTCGGACTTGTTGTTGACAATCATTTGTAGCTTGAGCTTGTGTTTACGATTTTCTCGGATTCTATTGTGTTCGGCATCTCCCGATGTACTGAGATTAGATTTGATTTGATTGAAAATTCTGTACCCTGGTTGTTGAGGGTTGGTAGTTTTAGTTCATGTCTTATGGTAGCAAGTTCAATTCTGAATTTCCATGTTTTAGTAACTGGAGATTTTTGTCATTTGTGA